AAAACGTAAAAGTATACGAGATGGATGGGAAGTACGAAAACGGTGACGGATAGGGACAGAGGGAGGAAAAAGCGAAAGGAACTCGACGTGGAAGAGACGAATTCGGGGGGAACGGTGTTCCCATGCTTGGTGACCACCAAGGAACTGTATGAGAGTCATGGGGAACCACTCAACCTCATCCATTCCCTACAAGCAGTTAAATCGACAACGACTGCTGTGACCCGCTGCGGGTGCCACCTCGCCCATCCCCCATTTGTTCTTGCCATCATGAGCACATACAGTGTCCGCTACGTGGACCTCCGTTCTTCTTAGCTGACAATGTCATCACGGGCGTGGGCGGAGTTCACTGGCCGTGGGCCTCACACTCTGACGGGTGGACCGGACGGGCAGGACCCGGGGAAGACTGGCAGGTGAACCCGTTGAACCTGAAAAATATCTCGATGCCTGTATCTCTCTGTTTGAGACCAGTCGGGTTTGAACCCAGGTCATGTGTTCATCGTCCTCTGTTGAGATACTAGTCAGAGTGATTCCCTGAAGGCTTTCTAGCATACAGCATGGGGCATTAGAGTCAGATGCAGAACATTCCTCGATAATAAAGTGTATATAAAAGTAAAAGTCATTTTGAAGTCAGACTAATTTAACGTGTTTTAAACTTTAAACAAAACAAGTTCATTTGAATTCACTGTATCCTACAAAAGATTTCAGCCATATATCTTAGAAAGTTAATCAAGCAGAAATCTGTGGTTATATCAAGATTCTTACACGTAAATAAATATATATATATATATATGTATGAATGTCTTGTCCTGATTTAATTTTGAATTTTGAATGTGACACATCGTTTCAATGTGTTTATATTCTATCTGTCATCCAAAGTTTTATCTGTTAGGTATTTTTCATTTCAAGAATTATTATCAATTAGAAAAAATAAAATAAAAAATACATTTTTTAAATCATGTCGCCATGGAAAATGAGTATTGTTGACATACTGTTAATATAATGAAACTATGTGTTTTATAGGAAATTAAAATGTCAACACCCCTGGTTTACAGTTGTTGCAGTTTTTTCTCTATACCCCCCCCCTCCTCCCACCCCTGCAATGGTGAATGTAATGAATGGTTATATATATATATATATATATATATATTATTTATTTATTTATTGATTGATTGATTCTAAAGGTCAACATCTGAAATCCGATCTTATGTATATGTGTATAATGAATATTTTATCATTACTTGTTTGCATGTTCTATGTGCTACTAAAACCATGTTGAAACGTTTTATATTCTTGTTCAGTGAAATTAAAAGGAATGTTTAGGCACATTTGGAACCTTACCACTTATTTGAAACTGATTTTGGATCCAGCTTGATTTTTTTCTGAGAAATTGTTGATGTATACAACAATAACTAACTAAGTAAACAAGTAAACAAAAGTAGTTTATTATGACTTGTTCTCTTGTATGCCAACAAAGATAAGTTCCAAAATCTGTTAGTGACCAATGACTCCTATCTAAAAAAATAAATAAAAAAAAAAAACTATTATCAAAATACATGCAGTAATAGATTTTTCACTCTAGTTCTCTTTGCATTCCATTGCACACAATTCAAGTTGTGACAACATTGTGAAAGATTGATAAAAGCATATTATTGTATGCTCTTCAACTACAAAACTCCTATTTTATTTATATTTATTTAGTTATTCCTAAAATCACATATTGCTATTTTGAAACTAACTTTGATGTCAGTGTAGAACACAATCTTCATTTAAATATAGTCCACATCTACCATGAGGAGTTCATTTGATGCAATCAAACTTTTAAAAAGGTATTTTGTAAATAAAAGAAAATAAAAAAAATAATATATGTATATATATAGAGAGAGAGTATGAATAAGCTGAATAATATATGTACGTATGTATGTATGTATGTATGTAAGGAATTCCATGGTTGAAGTCAATCCATAATTATTCAAAATATTAGTGTGGCAATAAATCCAACTCACAAAAATCGAAATTTGAATGTTTGAGGGTGAACGCAATGGGGGAGTGGATGTAACGGGCAGCACGATATTTGTTTGATGGGCAAGGGGCAGTAAGATATTTCCCGCTTCTGAGGTGAACTGGGTCGTTAAAGACTGTGTGAAAAGGACCCTACTATTGGACTGAGATGGGTGCAGGCTTGCTGGAAGAGGGCCCCGAAGCTTCCAGAAGCGAAGGCATAGCTGAAAGAAATTCTATCAATGGCGTTTAATTTTCATTGATTATGATTTTCAATTAGTATCAATAAACATTAGTTTCATTGATATTGCGTAGTAGGTAAGTTTGATGAAATATTGCATTAATATTTTCAATTAGATGTAATGAAATAAACTCACATGTGTCTAACGATTAAGAACCAACATGCTCATTGAAGCAATTGAAAGATGGTAAAAATCTCCTCATTATTTATATATATACACACACACACACACACATATATATATATATATATATACTTACCTTTAATATTGATGATTGATGTTTCACTTGTTTCAATTTTTTTAGATATCTACAATAAAAATCAATCTTTATTTAATATTGAGATGATTTATTAATTAAATTTTACTTATTACTAGATCTTAACTATATTCAAACAAGCATGCGTATAAAATGTATAAAAATTCAGTTTTAAATATTGTATTCTATATATATCTACACATGTGTGAGTTCTATTTTTAAAATGTTTTAAAATTTTCATTCTATATTTATTTTTTTTGTTGCACAACTTCATTGTTAAAGTTGAAATAAATTAGTTATTTGATAGTATGCAAATGCATTAAAATAACCCATAAATAATTATGTCAACCTAAACCAAAACTATGCATTTGAACAAAATATTATCTTTTATCAATAAAAGAAATCTTTGTATCATTTATTACAATTTGTCTGTTTGTTTTGTCTCTTTGTATATACATATGTCTATATGTGTCAAGGTCTAAGATATTGTTTAAAATATATATTTTTTATTTTATAATTTTTTTTATCTATAAAAAATTAAATTTTAAAATTCAAAAGATACTTAAAATGTTCTATCAAAAGACATTATTAAATATATGACTTGGTATAAGATAAAATGCACTTAAAAAATAAATCTTAGAATATTTGTAAATCAAATCAAAATATATAGAAGATTTATAGAAGTATTACAATATCTTTTTTGTATATTTCTTTTGAAATTTCATATAAAATCAAAGAGAAATATTTTTAGTTCGAATTAAAATAAATATTATAAAATATTATGAAATATATATTTAATATTATTCAAAAATAAAATATCTTTTTTGGTCTTTATAATTTGATTTCTTTGATCTTTTAAATTTCAATTTAAAAAAAAATCAATTTATGAAATATCATACTCAAATATTTTTCTAAGAGGTAGGGTGATAATAGATCTTTAAGTTATCTAATTTTATATATGTGAAATCATATATAATATCAAATCTACAATTATTAATTTCATTAATACTACATAGTTATGTTTTTTGTTTTGTTTACTTCATGTAGAATATAGCAAGTTTGCTTGCCCTTAACAATTGCATGAACAAATGTTTTAAGGGAGGACAACACCCCCTCCCCCACCCCCAATATATGCACTATTTGATGGATGTGTGTGAATATGCTTCAAAGGACTTAGAGACATTAGTGCTTGGCTTCATACAACCATGATTGTGTGCACACTGGTTTAGATCTTAGTAAAACAATTTTGTTATACAATAATTTCTTTTGTGCATGCAAAACTTTGTGTATATTTTTTCAACATTACAATCTCATTTATTCACAATAATTAAAAAAATATTAAAAAAACATTCTCTAAATATAAAATAACCAATATTTTGTTTTAGATAAGTGTTTTTCAATCCAATTGACTAAAGTCACGTTCATTACATACACAGTCTTATACCAAAATGATTCAATACTAAGTAATACTTATTAAAGAAAACTATGTAACAAAACAACAAAAACATTTCAGGCATGTTTGAACAATGCCACAAAAACTTGGACTCCTCGAAGAAGACACTAATTCCAACGCTACAATTCGTGTAGGTGGTATCCCATGTCAAGGGTGGAATTCTACCAGAACACACATACATCAAAGGATATGCGTAGAAACTGCATAACAACAACTTAGCATTATTGAAATGTTGCAGCAACTCCACAAACACCAACGCAACGCAGGCAAAGGGAAGCACAATCAGTGTACTGCTCACATGGACACACACACTACGATCAGAACAGCGGGAGCAACAGCAGAAGCTGGAAGGACCCAGCTCCGTCTCTCTCATCCACCCCCCCTCCCCCCCTTTTCCGTCCTGAGCGTTATTAAACAATCACGTACACAAGCTGTGAATCTCTCTCGCTTTCTGTCCTCCGTCGAAAAACCAGATTATTCTTCGACCACAAAACCAGAGGCATGCAACAGCACCGGAGCACAAAAGAAGGAGCGAAGCGGATCGTCGAGAAACGCATCCGGCTCTTGGAGGTTTCGTAATTGGGTCGACGGGATTCCGAGTGGTTATCCACAACAGGGAGACGACGACGACAACGACGACAACGACGACGACAAACAAGACACAGAGGAAGCAGTTTGTGGCGTGGAGGACCTCTGCCTACTCACCACAGATGATATTATTCAACGAACAGATCGAGGGAGGGAGGGATTGATGAATGACACAGTTGTGGACAGAAACGGGGCGGATTTGTGACGCAGGCCACGCGTGTTGCTCCTGGCCTTTAGCAGGACCCTGTGGAGACGGAGGGCCGCTTCCGACCAGAGGACGGGCGCGACACTAGCGGCTAGGAGTCTTGGGGAGGGAGAACGACGGTTACGGACGGCGTCTGGTGGTAGACGGGGTGGTTAGCGACAAATTGGACTTCCGTCGGTCCTGATGGAAGGGAAGGGGGCGCACAGTCAGTCAGTCTATTCTCCCCACCACCGCTGTCTCCGCGCGTGTACATGACGAGAGAGATTGTTCCACCACTCGCCACACCACAATCCTCTCTGCCAGGTTGTTGTCGTCTTGTTCTATGCTCTATCTATCCCTTTGCAGCGTCGTCGAATATCGCCAGCACAAGAGAGAGGAACCAGGGGTTTTGAGCCATTCTGTGCTTGCTTTGGCATGTTGTGTAGCCATACGTTGTGAACCTTTGGGGAAAGTTATCGTGGTTGAAGGAGTTTGAAGAGGGTTCTGGAAGTTTCTCGAAGGTGTCGGGTCTGACTATGTGTCCCTGTTTATAGCTATCCTTGTTAATTGACGAGAGTGCGAGTTTTGGTTGGAGATATGTTTGTTTTTGGAAGTCGAAGAGTGAGAGGAGGAGTCGGCGGTTGAATGTTTGGTAGGAGTTTGTCGTAGCTAAAGTGGATATAGGCGTGCAAGTTGCGTGCTTGTTTCGGTTGTCGCTGCTTGCATTCTTTGTTGGCCTTGGTTTAGAGGAAATTTGAGCCGATGCGTGTTTCGCCTACTGGCCGCGATTGTTGCTTGAATTAGAATCAATCTCCTGGTTCCGAGTTTGTTATTGGATTTCTGTGCCATTGAGTACACGAATACAGTTTAGGCCACTTTTGTTTTTTTAAGAGCTTACCGGGTGGCTACGTCCTTATTCTGGCAGCGATAGCAGTCCTCTTTCGATTAGTGCTACTTAAGGTTGGTTGGTTTGTTGGCGAAATTCTTCCCGCTCTAAATAGCTTCGTGAGCAATATTAGATTTGCAATCGATCTTGGTGTAGCTTGCGGGAAGCGTGTGGTTTCTGGATACAGCCATTGCCGAACAAGTCGATCTTCTTTGCTTGAGATTGAGACATGGAACCTTGTTGCCAGCGCTGGTGATGTCGCATGTGTGCATCAGAACATTGACTGAGGTGTGCATTTGGATAGGTTGATCAATTCTGGGGGTTCGCTAGACTGAACCTGAGTAAGATTCTTAAGTGTCGAAGGAAAATTAGTTTTACTTTCGTTGTATCGCAAGTCTGGTGTGGAAGTGTCTTCAAATTCGGGCCGGAGTTTCCCAACAGTAGGCGGAGGATAACAGGTGGCATCCATGGTTGGTCCAGTCTCGCCGAGGGTTACTAGTAATGAGGTTTTACATCAAGACGATCACCATGGCGAGGAGCGCCGATTGCAAGCCCATTCTGGAGGAACAAATCTACACAGCTCGCATTCGAGACAACAACACCCTAAGCAGTATTCTGTAGTCGAGTCCGAAAATCGAATCGGACATAAAAATACGAAGAAAACAAATCAAAGAATGTCAGGAGTGTCAGACATGAATGGAAGAATGAATCCGCCGTCTGCGGCCTCTTCCTCTGGTCGTTCCTATGCCCCATCTAACCTCGATCGTTTCCTCGAGGTTACGACTCCCCGAGTGAGGACTCAGTATCTTCCAAAGGTATTCTTCTCTTGTACAGCTCTTGCTCTTCCATCGCAACTCACTCTGAGCACATAACTCAAGATTTTAGTTTTATGTGTACAATTGAAGCTGAAGTTGCGGAGATAGTATATAAAAGTGATTTTATTTTGCTTGAAACATGGATGTGTGCGTACAGGGTGCAGCCCCTACGTTATGAGCTCTCAGATAGTTTGCTTTGCATGGCTAATGTTGATGGTTTGTCTTTTGTTGATCCTTCAGTGCTTATTGTCAACTCCCTTGTTGTAACGATCTTTTCTCTTGTAATGAGCGTGATTGGCTCTCGAAGGGCTGTAGCCGTTTCCTTAGAAGTCGACGATTTCCGCTTCGGATCCTTTTAGTTTTGCAATGGAAGCAAGGCGTTTTGTATTATGCCTCTAACACATTTTATTCTTTTGATGATCCTCAGTCTTGCTTGCTGTATTCCTCTCAAAAGAGGTGTGCCAACCCTGAGGAGACACTTTATTTCAACCTGGGAGATCTGTGGGACTCTTTCGATGAATGGAGCGCATATGGGGCTGGTGTGCCTTTGGTGTTGAATGGTGACGAGAGCGTTGTCCAGTATTATGTGCCTTACCTGTCTGCTCTTCAGCTATACACGCGGCCGGACTGGCCTGACAGATTCAGGTGCTTGTCATAGAGCATCTCGATCGTTAGAAAGATGTGTAAAATTCATCCGTGCTTTTGCGAAAATTAGGTTGCGGGTTTTTGTGTCGATGTGGTTGAACGGTCTGTTCCCACGGATATTTTCTTTTAGGCCTTATGATTCCCTACGACTATGACAGAAATCGTAAGTGTTGGTATGCGTCTTCAAAAGCGTGTTCGTTTTACAAGTGAAGTTCAAGTGGGCATGTGATTTATTTCAGTTTTTGTTTGTCAATAATTTGTAGCTACTATTGTTCTGTTCAGGAATGGAGGCGCTGAATCTGATGTGAGCAGTGAAGCAAGTTCAGATAGCGAAGTAGATGGATCACGGCCAATTCGGCGTAGTCCTTCAGTAAACAGTTCCAGGTTGGAATGTGCGTCTTTTAGAGACGATAACAATGAAGAAGTTGAGGTCTGGTCTTATTTTGAGACCATTTCGCCTTATAGCCGGGTTCCTCTTATTGACAAGGTACACTCACTCACTCTCTCTCTCTCTCTCTCTCTCTCTCTCTCTCTCTCTCCCCCCCCCTCAAACCTCAAGAATTTATAATCGCAAATTGACACCAGTTTACTGTACGTGCGATTGCGTGTCGATCAGAGTACTGTTGTGTAATGTGTGACGATTACCTTGTATATGTTTTATTTTGCTGTGGGCTATTGGACGAAGGCTGCTATGGAATTGATGATTGGTTCTCACTTATGAAAGGGTTGATCCATGTAGTTATCAAGTCGTGACTTCATTATGAGAAACTGTAATTACTCAGAGTTTATTTATCGATTTAATGCAGATTGCGGATCTGTCACGAGGTTTCGAGCCTGGGCAGGACCCTTTACGTTCACTGCGTAGCTTGGACCTTTTACCGAACAGTTGGTTTTCGGTGGCTTGGTATCCCATCTACCGGATACCGACTGGACCTACTCTACGGGATTTAGATGCTTGCTTCCTCACATTTCATCCCCTGTCTAAACCTCTTAAAGCTGAAGGTAATATTCAAACCTCTCCCTCCTTCCCTCCCTTTACCTCTCAATCTTCGTTTGCTTCTCTATTTTTCTGGTTATCTGACTCTTTTTTTATGGAATGTTTGTTTTTGCAGCCACTTTCATGAGCCCATCTTGTTGCAGGGATGTATGTGTAACTCAAACAGTGCCCCCCTTAGAACCTCAACCGCTTCGTGCGTTTGGACTCGCCTCGTACAAGCTTAGAGGTGCCGTTTGGGCTTCTAATCCGGAGAGGCGACAAGTTGTGACGCTACAGAAGTCTGCTGACGATCATCTCAAGCATTTGCGCGTTCAACATTTGCATTCGGACTTCAATTATTTCACCTCTCGCAGCACTCCAACCCGTCGTTGAGTCGTAACAGTGGGCTGTAACATTAATATGTATCTATCTCCCTTTCCACCATGGTCAGATAATGACTGCGAGACTAGAGTATTCATATCAAATTGACTGATTACAATCTTTCGAACTTTTGCTGAAGTTACAAAGCCAGCTTGTGTAAGTTAAAAGTTGCACTCTGCGCTTGTTTTTTTTGAATAGTCCACTATAGCTATAGTTTCAGTTTTTTCGCTTATCTGAAACCAAAAAAGTAAAAAACAGAAAATGAGAAAATTTTGATTTTGAGTGATTGCACTTCATTCGAGCTTTTTAGAGTAGGTTAGAGGCAAAGTTTTTTGTAGCCTCTTGCAGGCTTTTGCTGTAGACAGAGTTTAGGGACATCAATATCCATCTCATCTGGACGCCATTGATGATGCGCAATTTTATGTTTAGTGTTAGTTGAAGTGCTAATCTGTAGCCGGGGAAGAGAAAATACTTGTACAAGTTTCTTCTCATATCCCCACCCTGTAGCACCATTTGGGACTTTCTTTATGTAGTTAGTAGACGGTATTTGAACTTTTTTTTCTTCCTTTTTGTTCCTTTCCGAATCCAAGTCCTGCAGACGCTTGGAAATTTTCAATATTTCGTTTGCTGTAAATGTTTTGAAAATATAAATATGTTAAATACACATATGGGTTGGTATTCCTGAATCATTCCAGTGTCAAACCAAATGCTTGAATTTTCCACACTATGAACAGAGTTGCTTTTACCCTTGGAATAATTACACAAGCTTTTTGGATGAACTGTGATGCCGGTCTTGGTAATGAAGCTGAACAGAGCATCGCATTTCTATACGCATGTCCACCTTGGTAATATTTGTCTTAAGAGACAGTCCATTGTTCACAACCTCGACAGCTACCTTCATCCCTGGTTCTATCTGGACTTGCCGCCAGTAGCATACTATAGAAGGAACAGAAATTGCCGTTCGACAACTGTTCACTGACAGCTGCACCACGTGAGCACCACGCGGCTTACAGGAAGAGCCACTAGAACTTGCTCACAAAAAATGTATATATATATATATATTATATATATAAAGGGGTTACTGCACAGTAGGCCAGCTCCTTGACTACTGGAAGGTTCTCCGGCGAGAGATATTGACGTGAACTGCAGCATTAGTCACAATGTTTGGCATATAGGATCATATTCCCAGAAGATGCTATTTTCGATTCCGTTTTCGATGCCCATCGATTCCTCATCCTCCCAGACTCTCCTCAGCTACAGTTCTCTTGGAAACAACGAAATGGCTGCTACGTTAGGCCATTCTGTGCCACCCTTTGCGGCCACTTTCAATGTAACTGTAAATCCACCTGTAAAGCAATTTTTCCAACTGTGAAATATATAGCAGACAAATAGTCCTAGATGTCAACTGCTGGTTGTTGTGAGCATCGTGACGTGACTTGGTGACAGATGTTTGGCGATGTGGGTCTCGGCAAGACTCTCTTCTGTGCTTGTAGATGGGGAAGATATTTCAGAAAAACTCGCTGACAATTGCTGGACTATGTCGTAATGCACCTCACCTATACTTACTTCCCTGGTGTGTAGACTTTCTTTATGATTCTCTGAAATTGCACTCTCTTACATTTGTTTTTATCTTGTTTCTTTTTCTTTTATCTTTTTTTGTAAATTCAATGCATCGCAGACTTGAATTCCTCTTGTTCAGGGAAATGATTGCCGGATTTCTTGGGCCTGAGTCAGTGATTGTGAGTTGTTAAGCGTAATTCTGCAACCTGACTAATTTTAAGTGGTGGTTGGCAGTACCACGAGCATGATCTGAAATGACCTTGAAGAAAGTCGAACTTTTCAGTTTGTTTTAAAATAAAGAAAGATAGATCGGAACCGCTCTTTTTACGCACAGTTTTATCTCCCACCAAATGATTAAAATCCATCAACGTGTTTTTCGTTTTTATTTTGGAACACCAGTGAAAGTGGAGTCTCAAAATTTTAGTACATTAGAAATGTTGCACTCTTCGTGTTTACTGAGACTTTGGAATATGGAGCACGACGTGCACGTTTCCACTCGCACAACTTCAAGTGTCTAGGATTGACAACACTTTTACAAAAATATAATGTTACGAGTGAAACAATTGTGCAGACTAAGATGGGAGATGCCCCATTAGTGTGTGGCTATGGCTATGGCTAAGTCACCCAGAGTTGGAAAAAATGAAAGTTTAATGACTAAGTCTAGTTGGAAACTAAGTACTCACACCAGACTGTGTCTAGTTGGAAACTAATTTATGGTTGTACCTGTAAGTTATAAAACCCTAATAAAAACAATTCACGTGCACCCGTTCCTTCATTTAGAAGTATTACTGTTACTGAGAGAAATATGGTAAACCAGTCTTGCACACACTAACACGATGCATCATAAAACAAGACATGATTAAGAGATCATAGTCAAATTTGGAACATGAAACCACATAATCGACTTGCAAACAGAGTTTGGGCCACCTGTGAATCGAGTGCAGTTCTCTTTTCAGTCTCTTTGCAGCCAAGTTAAGACCATAAGGAGAAACTGTGTTCTTTTCAATGCTGGGCTAGATTTCGTGTCACAATATCATGATAGTTTCCCCCTTCATGTACATATTTGGCTTCTCTGAGAGCAGTCCCACTCGTCCCTTGGTGAAAGCACCACCCACATTTGAGCACGTTTTAGGGTTTTGATATTTTGGTAGAAGATGGCAGCACGGCAGCATCAAAATTAAGCTGCCTACAAAGACTAACTTATCATTCTGTGAGTAACATCGAACGGAACCCACGATGCGGAAGCTAAGTATGCCGATTTGTCGAATCAATCTCACATGCCCCCTCTGATCGACAACTCCTCACCAAACTTCTGCGGCAAGTACGCTGGGCACAGAAGATCGCCGCAGAGCATCAACCCACTGGCACCATGGAGTCCGCCACAACCCACTCGGGCGTCGTCGTCCTCCTCATCGTCGCAATGGTCGAGGTTCTCAGCGCCTCATCAAACCCTAACTTTCAAAACCTGTAAATCGAGTTTGCAAAAACATTCGTTTCAATTCTGGCTTTGGCCACATAAACTTTATTTTCGTTGCATGGAAAATTTTGCTGGGAAAAAGCTTCTTCATTCTGATGTAGTTCGACGACTGAGAAGAAGATTTGGTAGAAAGTGACACACAAAACCAACCCAGATCCATCGAAGTTCACAGAACACAACGCTAACTTCATGAGTCTTCGCAAATAATCAAAGTTTCCGAGATCGAAAATTCGAGAAACGTCGCGGCATCTGGTGACAGACAGACACGTCAGATGGTGCAGTGCCACGTAATCATTTGATTAATCACCGACAGCGCGTATGTGGCAGTACACGTGGCACTGGGTAGGTCAGAAATGCGGATTGAAATATCTCGATGTCCTTCTCTCTTGCGTCCTGGCACAAGAGTCCTTTCCACTTTCGGATAAAGTGATTTCACACATTTTGTTGCTGATATTAAAGCAAAAGCCAGCACCTCGTCTATATATTAAAGTACGAAACAATTTCTGTTTGTTCGCCCTCACAAATAAGATAAAAACGAATATTGTTCCTATATATATATATATATATATATATATATATAATTGGAAATGTTTTAATTGTGTATGAAAGAAAAAATATGATTCGCAGAACAACCGAAGCAGTTTATATTTCTCAAAAAGCATACTGGGATTTGGTAATGATACATGCATTGTTTTTTTTTGAAAGTTAGCTATTTTTGTTGTGTGAGGTTAGTTTTAATTAATGAGTTTTGATTAAAAAAATCAACTTCAAAAGTTGTAACGTAACTTAAGTAGATATGTTTTTGAACTTTGGGTTGAAGTTTGTCAGCTGAATTAAATTAAACTTGGATTTTAATTAAATTGACCCATCCATCCTAACCATCATCAAAACAAATTCTACTGCTAGATCCATATTGGTTGGAGACCAATAAAAAAAAGGGTCAGATCCACAACCAATGATGATGGATGGGTTGATTTAGTAAATGCATGGATATATTTAATAATTTTCTTTATTTAGCTTCAGGTAATTTTTTTCTATCATATTATTTACTTAGACATCTAATTTCAAAACACCTATTCAAATAAATAAACAAACAAATAAATAAAATATGTCTATCTAGTAGAATTTAATAATAAAACTAATTATTTTATCTTATTTTGATTTTATGATCTAATTTTATAAAATATAGAGGTAAAATATAATACTTTTAGTATATTTTAATATATTTTCATATTTAATTAAATACATTAAAAAGCAATAAAGTTATAGAATATATATATATTAATTTATTTTAATTATTTTTAAAATAGAATTTTAAATCTATAAGAAATTATATATATATATATATATATATATATATATATGTTTCCCTTTTTGTGTTTTAAATAAAAATATTTAAAATTTACATTGGTATTATAAGTTTTAGATTCAAATGTTTTCTTTATTATTAATTTTGCCAAAAATTAGTTGATGTATTTAAAAATTACTTTGATTTTAAAATACTTTGAAAAACTTATCTTCATTAATTAAACTGGTAATTCTAATTTGAATTTGTACATCTTTAAATATTTTAATTAATATTATTAATATTTATTTTTATAATAAAAATATTTTTTTAGCTTTATTTTATTTTAAAGTAATGTCTTATTTTGCTTTAATAACTTATACCTTAGTTCTTTGTAAATAAATGTATGTTGTAAATTAACATCACTTGACTTATTTTGAATTATTTTATTTATTAGTGCTTCAATAGTTTATTTTTATTTTTAATGATCTGATTTTAATAATAAAATATAATCAAATAATTGTTTTATTAGTAAATATTAATAATAATTAAAAACAATATTAATAATAAAAATAAAAGATATAAATATTTTTTTTATTAGTGATGATATTTTTATTTATAGATTTTTAAAAAAAGGAATCATAAAAATTTTATATTTTTAATCAAATCTAGATTCTTTTGATTTTTTTGAAAGTTAAGAAATAGTTTATAATATTTTTTTACAAAAATATTATCTCGAATTTTCTATTTTGAAAATAAATATTCTATAAAATTTTAATGTCAAATTCTTGATAAGTTATTATTATTATTATTATTATTATTATTATTATTTTATTTTTTGATTCAAAAATAGTTTGTATCCAATGCATCTATAGAACAAAAAGATACAACATAATATTTTACACCTTATACCTAGAGGCAAAGCTAAGAATTCTAAAAAAAAATTATGAACAAATTATAAATAAGACATCACTAATAAAAAAAAATTATGTACAATTTTGTGAATACTATACTAAGGTTTTTTAGAGTTTCAATTAATTATTTTTTCTATTTTTAAAATGAGGTATTTTTTTTTTGCTATCTAAGAGGTATCCTATTTCTTTATTAGGGATGACTTTGGATGCAAGTGTTTTGCTAAATTCTTTTAAACAAATTTCTAACAAATTTTTCCATATTTATTAAGACTTGTTCAAACCATGCTTATACTATGGAGCATACTTTATATTTAATTTTCAAAGATGAATTTGTTTCTCTAAATCCAAATAGTTCATAGACAAAGATTTCCTAACAAAGACCACATCTTACAAAAATATTCGAATTTAGAAAGAAGAATTCAACAAAAATAACTAATTTCCAAGTGAAGGATT